CCTGTGATGGATGTTTTAACGAAAGTCAAGCCTTATAGACGAATTCTTGGACAAGATTTATGGGATGATATTACTGCAAAATTTATGACCTCCGATGCCGTCATCACTTCAAATATTTTACCGGCTCGCAAAAAGGTGCCCGTTCAACTTCCTGTCCGTGAAACACTCATAGAATCTTGTATTATTAATGAAGAACATGCAGCAGAGATTTCATCATGGATTGATCGTCGCTCTTCTCCTTATGATGTCACAGAAATTCCATATAAATTTAAATTACTTCTTAGAGGAAGTAGTGATGGATTTACTGTTGATTCGTTTCATAGATTATGTGATAATATACCTGGAACTGTTGTTATTATCAAGGTTGATGGGACAAGTGAAATACTTGGAGGATATAATCCATTGATCTGGTCAAATAGTCAAAGTTCGAAATATTTAGAAACAGCTGATAGTTTTATTTTTTCATTAAAGACTAATAAACTATCAAGCTCTATTATTACGAGAGTTATTAGTAAAAGTCATGCAATTGGATGTACACATGTATTTGGTCTATATTTTGGTTGTTGTTTTTATATGCATAAAACCCAAGGGTGTTATTATAATGTGTGTTGCAGTGCTTACAAACTTTCTTTTAGAAATAGTGGAAATTTCAAAATAGATGAATATGAAGTATTTCAAGTTTTTAAAGGAAATTAAGTATAAAATTCTAAGATGAGTTTTAGCATAATTATGCCGATGCTATATTAAAAATTATCTATGGTCTTAAGTTTATAAATAAAAACATTTATTAGATTTTGAAAATTTACCTTAAAATATTAAGAAAGTTAATAATTAACAATTGTCTCGTATAACAATAATTTTTTAATTCCAGATTATTACGTCAAAATCCTAGAATGATTATTACCTGAGATCGGGATAAAATATCATGCTGTATTATATTAATATTTATGAACTTGAATTGCAGATTACTATATAGACCAATCGTTAGAAATAAATAATTATATGAGTTCCGGCAAGGGAAAACCTCAAATCGGCAATTAAAATTACTATTGCCGATTCGAGGTTTTCCCTTGCAGGCACTCATATATTTATGGACGTGACACTGTCTATCAGAAAATATAGATCAAGTTAAACAAAGTTGTGAAAATTACATTCTTACATTGCATAAGTCTCAATTAGGTTTATATAAGTTCAAAAGGAAGTCTTTCTGATTCGCAAAACTGAAATTACAATCTATTGCCTAAAAATTAATTATCATATTAATAATAATGTTTTGATTTGCATTTTTGAGCTTGTATTTTTGAAATATATGCTATTCTCTTCTTAGCATCTTTAATTCTTAATACTGTATTTCTTATTTAAATTTTCCTATTTGTTGAGTAAAATATTATTTAATTAAATTAGTGTAAAGGAGTTTAATATTAAAGTTAGGGTAGGTATATAGGTAAATTTGATATCCAACCACTTTTAACTAGTGCCCCAAAGTAGGTTTTGACATTTGTTTCTCATATTTTCACTAATTTACTTTTTTTATTGCAGTTGTTTGTGTCTTGTCTGGATCTTAATCTGAAATTCTGACCATATAATTGATGATTTTGTCCCTGCTTTAGAAGTTGTGTATCAGGATATGCCTTTTAATATACAGTATGTACTGTATATAAAGATTTTTGTACGAAAATTTAAGAGTACGAACTTAAATCAGAAAAATCGGAAAATTCCTAGGAGACATGCTCAAAATTTTCTAACCCAGTTTAGACGACCCTTATATTAAAATTCAGATCAAGTAAACTTTCGTGAAATTCTACTTTCACACATATCAAGATGTCAGATCCATTCTGATCTCTTTCGAGATTGTAGTAAAAAAAAAAAGGCAATCAGAGAGGTGGAGGTATGTGTTTATAGAGAGCAAAATATATGTAGTCATTATAAAGCTATACCATCAAAAGAGAGAGAATTTACATTGAATGTGCATTTGTAGTGTGTGTTTATGATAGAAGACTTAAAAAAATGACTTCTAAAATCGTTGTGAGTCAGAAAATGAGTTACCACAGATAATAACTAAAGCATTACAAAAAACTCTAATATTGGAAGGATTCTATCGGATGTAGAAATATTTGATCCGAGTGCGTGGTTATTTTAATTAGAGCTCTATATTACGTCACCGACATTAAAATGTATATCCACGGCGAGGGACTATTAGAGCGAAACATTTAGTTCGAATCTGAAGTGTTCGACTGAATAGCCTCATGCATTTTAAAGCATTCATCTATATAATCTTTAAAAGATCTTGCCATCCATAAATTTAGCATCAAACATACAGTCTTGCTAGTTAATTCTAACTTCCGCTTCAATAAATTTGTTGAATGATTATAAGTAATATGAATAAATCACTTCACAGTTTTCTCACATAATGGTATATACAAAATTTGTATCATAAACAATTCTAGAAATGATTCTTTTAATACAAGACTAAGTGGCATATTTCATGAATTATTAACTATAATAAAGATCATTATTTCTTGCTTTCAAATGAGTTTTATTATAATTAACTTGATTATTCTAATAATGATAAAAATAAAAAAATAAAAAATACTGAATAATAATAAATGAACAATCTTGATCTGTGAAACATTGCGTAATGACATGTACTGAAGAAAGATTACGAATCAGATTCGAGGTTGATACTCTCACAATTTTGATTCTTTTAATGCATTGTTTATTATCTTTTATCAGGTTACTTCACCATCTTTATTAGTTACTAAAACCGATTCAAAGTGTTGTCAGACCCAGGATATAATTTTTGTTGTTTTTTTTTAGAATTAGGGATTTGGTTTTTCACAAACTGAAATATTAACACAAGATTCATCTTCTTCATTACTGAAGACGAATTGTACAGGAGCATCAATGGAAGGCGTAGTATCTTTATTTAATGTATCGAAATTCATTTTGTTAATTACGATTTTAATTACGATCAATTTTGAAAAATTAATTAGACCAATATTTAATCAATATTTATAGAAGTTGTCATTTTTAATCAAACAATTTATCACGATCAAAACAATATAATTAACTTTGACTTATATTCTTTAATTGATTAATTAAAAAACTCAATTGAAATTTCGATCGATATTCTAATAATTTTTCACCGATTCCACCCTGTAATTGGAAGATATGAAGAATCATTTGCAGCTTTGAATATGTCATTAGATATTATGCAAAATAATGTGATTGCTTTAAATTTCGTGGGAAAGCTTATAAAATGTCGAGTAAAGATGAAGAATTGATTGCAGATTTTCTTAAATACTTAGAAATTTCACTTGCAGATTTACCTAAGACATTAGATACTGAACAAAATAATGCGATTGCATAGGGAAGTGTCAGATTTCAGTTGATATCGTCGAGGTAGACAAAATATCAGGTCTAAATATATATATATATAACCTATCAAAATGACTAAATTTCTCAAGAGGGAGGGAGGAGGGTAAACCCTATAGTGAACTGATCTCAGTTAACATCTAACATGACCTTATCAAATTATAGGTAAATGTGAAGAATCGCTTAAAGATTTTATTAAATCGGTTAAATTGATCCAAACAATGAA